TGAGGAGGTGGTCGCTCCTCGTCGTGGGGGCTTCTACTGCTCTTAAAAAGGATTTAAGTCAAAATTATCCCTATGGCGAGGGTGGTCGAGCGCCGGCACGGGTTTGCCCCGAGAGGCTGTGGGGGTCGCCACCCTTTGGAGAGGTTAGAAATGGCAGCAGGACGAGGGAGGTGATTGCCCACCTCTGCTCGGTGCCGGTGAGGCCCGACCTCAAATATTGGGTGTCGCTTTTGGGCTACAAGGAAGACGCTGAGGTGGTGGAGCGTGTCCAGAGAATGGCAATGAGGGTGGTGGGAGGTCTGGAGAACAAGTCTTCTGAGGAGCAGCTGAGGGAGCCTGGAGAAAAGGAGGTGAAGGGGAGACCTTATCACTCTCTACAGCTGCCTGAAAGGAGGTTGTAGAGTGGTAGAGGTTAGTCTCTTGTCCCAAGTAACAAGTGATATGACAAGAGGAAATGGCCTCAAGTTGCACTGGGGGTGGTTTAGATTGGATATTAGGAAAAATTTCTTCACTGAAAGGGTTATCAAGCATTGGAATGGGCTACCCAGGGAAGTGGTTGAGTTGCCATCCCTGGACGTATTTGACAGGTGGGTAGATGTGGTGCTGAGGGACGTGGTTTAGTGGTAACTTGGCATTGTTAGGTTAATGGTTGGACTTCATGATCTTGAAGGTCTCTTCCAACCGAAACAGTTCTATGATTCTATCAGATATTCAAAGCCTGATGGCATGGCCCTGAGTGACCTCCTCTGACTGACCCAACTTGCTGGACCAGTCTGTCTTCAGGGGCACCTTAAAGTCTGAACCATTCTGTGAATCTGTGCTATCTAGCAGTATGAAAATGAAAACATAGTATAGGAGATTTAAAGGAGTGATACATGGCATCAGGTCTAGAGCAGGTAGTGCCTGATGGAGACCCTGCTGTGGAACCCTGGGCATGAGGATGCATGCTGTCTTCAGATGGTGACTTAGACTCATAGAATCATGGAATATCAGGTCGGGAGGGACCTCAAAGATCCTCTGGTACAACCTTTCTTGGCAAAAGCACAATCTAGACAAGATGGCCCTTCACCCTGCCCAGCTGAATCTTAGAAATGTCCAATGATGGGGAATCCACCACTTCTCCAGGGAGATAATTCCAATGGCTGATTGTTCTCATTGTGAAAAATTTTCCTCTATTGTCCAGTTGGAATCTCCCCTGGAGCAACTTGTACCCATTACACCTCATCTTTTCCACATGACTCCTCGTAAAAAGGGAGTCTTCATCTTCTTTGTAGCCAACCTTTAAATACTGGAACAAAGGGACAATTAGGGACACATGGCCAGATTTGCGGAGCTGTTACGTATTGGATGGTGCAGGCAGGCTGGTGGGACTTTCAGAGAGATAGAAAATGAGCTTCCATAAAAGCCACTGGGTTAGAGGAACCACACTAGGCAGCTTTAGACACCAGATGTAGATGTTTGTGCACAGAAGGTAGTCTCCCAAGGTCCTCTGTATTGTCAGTGGAGAGAGGCATGCCCTCAGGGCATGTCAAAATAGTGGGATGAGTTGGTCTTTTGAAGAACCTGGGCAATTTTAAGAAAACATGCTTTGTCCTTAATTGTACCCCTGTATACAGGTCAAGGGAGGTTATCCTTCCCCTCTACTCTGTCCTAGTAAGGAGCACACATCAGTAGCACTGTGTCCAGTTCTGCCCTCCCCAGTTCAAGAAAGACAAGGAACTGGAGAGAGTCCAACAGAGGGCTACGAAGATGATCAGGGGAATGGAGCACCTCTCTAATGAGGAAAGGCTGAGAGACCTGGGCCTGTTTAGCCTGGAGAAGAGAAGGCTGAGAGGGGACCTCACCAATGCTTATAAACATCTAAAGGGTGAGTGTCAAGAGGATGAATCCAGATTCTTTTCAGTGGTACCTGGTGACAAGACAAGGGGCAACAAAATGGAACACGATTTTGGTGGAAAACCCACCCTTTAAGTATTTATAGGCATTGATCAGATCCCCCGTTATCTCCAGACTAAAAAGACCCAAGTCCCTTGGCCTCTCCTCGTAAGAGAGATACTCCAGGCCCCTAATCATCTTTGTAGCCCTCTGCTGTACCGTCTCCAGCAGTTCCCTGTCTTTCTTGAACTGGGGAGCCCAGAACTGGACACAGTACTCCAGATGGGGCCTCACCAGGGCAGAGTAGAGGGGCAGGATGACCTCCCTCCACCTGCTGGCCACACTCTCCCTGATGCACCCCAGGATGCCATTGACCTTCTTGGCCACAAGGGCACAGTGCTGGCTCATGGTCATCCTATTGTCCACCAGGACTCCCAGGTTTTCTCCTCAGAGGTGCTCTCCAGCAGGTCAGCCCCCAGCCTGTACTGGTACGTGGGGTTATTCCTCCCCAGGTGCAGCACCCTACACTTGCCTTTATTGAAGATCATCAGGTTCCTCTGCCCAACTCTCCAGCCTGTCCAGGTCTCACTGTATGGTAGCACAGCCTTCCAGTGTGTCAGCCGCCCATCCCAGTTTTGTGTCATCAGCAAACTTGTGGAGGGAAGTTATTGTGCTAAGCTTTGTGAAACTTTGCTGGATGATTCAAGATGATTCATTCATATTTCTGGTGACCCTCCTGCTTTATAACAAGGATTAAAAATGGGTATCACCTTGCTGCTGGTTGCTGTCTTCCGGACTGATTTCTTGTGTGACAGGGTAGCAAATACTTTCCTGTGATCTAGATGAGTATGTTTGGTGTGTTTCAGCATCTGTCCCTCCTACATTTAGAACAGTTGCTTTAAAAAGCGCAAAAGCTTTTCTTCATCCTGTTTTAGCATTTGTTTCACAAATGGGGAAGACCCGCATTTCAATTAAATATTTTAATTTAGGACTTTGGAGAGCTCTGTTTATTCACTTAGTTAATTTGTGAATGATTTCCATTCCAATTACAACACATTATAAGCAAGCTAATGTTTGTATCCTGTATTGCCAGTTTGTCACTCTTTTAGTGAGATGTCATGGTCATTGGGGCAGATGGCGTTGGCATGGATTTCACCCTGTAGCACTAAAGAACAGTTGTTATTTAGAGGAAAATATCTTTTTAGCCATTGTGAAGATTAACAGATGCAAAAATTAGTGATGGGAAGTCGTTACCAAGCTCTTGTACCACTGTCTTGCTGCTGATCTCTGTCTCTGTCTCGTGAGCACGCTGACACAGACGATGTCTGCTGACCCTCAAGCTGGCACAGAACAGCCGAGTGCTGGAACAGGAAGCAGAGGTCGGGCTGTGCTGGCTTTGGACCCGAGCTGTCTGACGCTGTGACTGCCGTGGCGATGTACAACGATACTCTGGCCTGTCTCAGGTAACACAGCACGACTTTGCATAATGTCCGCATATCCTGAGGCATCAGCTGTGAAGACTAGTGCCGTCACCAATCTCAGGGCGTAGCTTGGGAGTTAATTCACTCTTCAGGCAGTCTCTGGCCTGCCCTGTCCAGGAGGTCTGGATGAGTTCAGGCATGTGAACTTCTTCCCTTCAGGTACCTGTGACTGGCAATACAGCTCTGTCCTGAGTGGCAAGTCTGCTTCCAGGACCCTGCGTGCCATGGATGGGAAGCCTGTTCCTGCAGCTGAGAGATGAAAAACATCACGTGGTCCAGTGAATTCCTGATCTGAGCGGTAGGAACATCAGGCTTTGGGATTGCATCTTTATTTACCTGTTGAGTAAGTATAGAGCTCTCTGTAGAAACCAAACAGCCCCAATCAAAGAGGAAAAAATGATCCTTAAGTAGCACATTGACACAGTCTTCACTTTGGGCCTTACCAGCTAGCAGGCCTTCCTTCAGAAAATCCATCGGTGCCCCATGCCTCTCTCATTCCTTCCTAAACACCCTCCCTTCTGAATCCCCTTTTATAGGCTCCTTGGCTTTAATCCATATAACCAAAACCACCCTGAAGGAGCACCTGGCCAAGGACAGTCCTCAGTATACTCTTTACTGGAATTGTTTTGCCTTTGGATTTTTACCCCATATATAGTCCCATAGTAACTTAAATAAAAATATTAAGAAAGTTCATATTCTGGTATCAACTCCTGCAGATATTAATGGTTAGCTGTACAAACAAAGTGTGAAGAACCCAAATATATGACAGCAGCCTGTGTGCATTTTAGAAATGGCTTTTGTTAGAATTTTATTTCAGGGGACTTAAAATCTTCTTTAAATATCTACAGTGGTATTAACTATGAATTTTAAATTTCAGAAAAATATCAAAAGCTTTCAAAGGTGAACTTATTAAGCATAAAATTTGTTGAAAAACAAATGTCCACTGAAGCAGCAAAGTAACATACAAATAGAATTCTGAATGCAAATGTATGAAGAGTTATTATGGTAATCTTTTCTGTCACACTGAGACAGTTATACACAGCATTAAAGTACTTACAGTCCAGCTACCTTGTTCCTGAAGTTTTCTCTATATTTTCTTTATCGTTGAGCATTAAATATTTTAGATAGCAACAAAAATATGGGTAAGTTTTACTTTTAAGTGTGTGCCCATCTTCTCTATGAATGTGCTCTGCCTAGCTTGGGCCTGCCTTTAATTACTTCAAGGATTCTCTCCTGCAAAGTGAGAAATGACTTGAGCTTTTGTAAATCTGTTTGTCACTTCTTTTTAATTTCTTCCCCTTTGCCCATATTTTTTATTTTGACAGGGAGCTAGCTTCACATTGATTTAATCTTCAGTCTTAAATGAGTGTCATTTAGACACTCAGACCATGTAATGAGCCAAACTCTGCCCATGCACAAAATTGTGCAGTTATTACTGACCTTTCAGAATCTTTCAACTGGAATATCCTGGGCACTGCAGAGCCCATTTTAACTTTTTTTTTTTTTAATTTCCTTTTTTTCCTCCCGTTGGTGAACCAAGTGTTGAAGTCTTCACTCATTT